CATTTGTGAGCTATCAAGCATACAGAAGCTCTCTCCATTTTCTGGACAGACAGGATTCTTAAAAAAATTGTCATTCATGTAACAGAGGGTTTCACTTGTCAAAATCCTTTGTAAAAAAACTATGAACTTCCTCATAACTTTTTGAAATAACAGAAGATAATAATTTACAGAAAGTGTATTTGCATTGTACCTAGGTTGTCATATTGTTGTTTTTTTTTAACAATTGTTACATTCTCAATGTATTCATTGATTAGACTATACTGTAGCTTGACCAAAGGTACAGTAGAACATTAAAAATGTGTACAATATGAACAAAATAATGTTACCTTGGGAACTGAACTTAGCAAGTTTTCTATGTAGTAAATTTCCTTGTACAGTGCTTAAAAACAGTAATGTACAATTATATTTTATAAAATATTTTTTGAAGTTATACATTATCAATTATTTATATTTTATTAATGTTTTATATTTTAATGTAATGTTTTATTATAAATACTTTTGTATTGGTTTTATTATCATCTTATGTTTAGCTTTGTAACTAGCACAACCTACTGTATTTATAATTTACAAATACAGAAAAAAATAGTGTTATTAGCATTATTTTTCATTAAAATATTTCCTAGTTTTCAGTTTACATTTTGTTGTTATTTTCTCTTTTTTTTTTTTTTTTGCTTCAAAAGGAACTTTAATTATGTCCCTGGGAATATTATACTGCGTTTACACTGTTTACGAGAGCACGGTTGCAGAAATTGAAGCGCAACGAAAGGAATATCAGTCACTTGAAAACATTTGATGTTTGCATCCTGCTAATATGTTCTCCACAATGCATTCCAAAACTTTTTAATTTTATATATTTTTCCTCTTTTCTTATTGTTTATTAACTTGCACTTTCTATACTTCAGTCTTGAATTTGAAATAAAAAAAATATATATATTTTAGAAAAATCAGTTAAGAAACATTTGTTTCCCAAGAATGTAATTTTATTTTAGTGGTGTATCTAGAGTGAGGAGGATCCCCATTAAGAACTTACTAATACTAAGCAAACAATTATATTCATATATTTAAAAAATCACCTCATAATCATTTATACCCAGTAGCACCACTTCACTTTATCATCACTTCCACATCAGCACCCACTCTCCCATAATAATAATGATAATGATAATGATAATAATAATAATAATAACATTGTACATTTGTATAGTGCCGGTATCCATCAAACAAAATGCTCATGGCGCTTGATATGTGGTCTTGTAGCTCGATCAGTAACTTAAGTTGCCCCTAAGGGTCCCTTCGTGTCTGTGCTACCCAGTAACCCAGTACCAGCAACTCTCGTCGTCCACTACGGGGGCTGTCTGTACCAGTACACCAGGCTATCCCATTTGAACCAACGCCGATATTATGGCTGTCGGTTGCAGCGCCCCTGCCTTAACCGCTCGGCCATTCAACTCGCCATCATGTCAGTAATCCTACATACACTACTGTTGATAAGAACATCTCCACTTAATAAAATATTAAGAAGACTAAAGCTGCAACTGCACTGGAATTTTGCAAACACCCCAGGAAATTTACATTCCTTAACCGAGTGGATTTTACCCATTAAAACTGACCAGGTATAGTTTTACCAAGCCAAAAAGTCCAATTCAAACATTTTTCTTGGTTTAAACTTCCAGAGTAATTTGAGCGTTACTTAATGGATTATGTCACAGATTATCGCCTTCAATAGTTGAATTTCCCAGCTTGGTCAGTTTTACCACTTCTTGCAGTAAAACTAACCGACTACAAAAATCCAAGTGCAGACAGTGGTAAGATTTACCCATTGGAATGTAACCAACATTCTTGGTAAAATCTTCCATATTTTTAAGTCCAGTGCGATTGCGGCTTTATTTAATAGATAGAGTATCGTTTCCAATTTGTAATACTTGCTTTTAGATATGAAGTAAATTAAATTTTAATATTAGGAACTGTGAAATTCCCTCCAGTTTCTAATAAAATGTTATGAATCTTGGAGGTACAGTAGGTATTTCATTCGTACTTGCATTTAAAATCTCAATACTGCTGGCTGTATTGTGCATTTGTTGCAGTTATGTAAACAGAATATGTTAATGATCTATCACATTGTTGTGTCCTATTCCATAATTCAAACAATTCATCTGTGTAGATTCTCACAGTGTAAATCAATACAGTGTTGTTAAAGAGTGTATTCAATACTGTACTAACTGTAGAGATTTTATAATAATACTGATTCTTGTACGTTAAAATCATGCTAAGTTTTCTTTTTTGGTTATTAAGTATAACAATTCCTTTAATATTAATTATTTAATATTAAAATAATTTGAACTACCTAATTACAGGTAGTAGTTGAAATAAAAATATTTAGTATTAAAATATAATATTTAGTATTTAAATTTTTATATGTTTTTTAATTATACATAGAAATTTCTAATCTTTAAACAGGACAATAATGCTGGTCATAGAGACCAAAAATTATTGTTTTTATTAATTTGAAATTGTACTAAGTATTAATATGGTAGTTTCTAAGTATAGAAAATTATATATAGTGGCAAAAACTATGTTTTTGATTGAAGTTATGAGAAAATAAAAAAATACAACACACATGCTTTTAAAACTCCTGAGCACACATTTTTGTTTGTGTTTGATTTGTATAACTTGTAGAAAGTAATTTATTTCTGTTATATTGCATCATTAAATTTTATATTAAAAAACATTACATCAAGAATGATTACTTTGGTAGTTGGCACTTAGTCACATGACTATTTGTCAGTATACATGTCAGTATACACTGGCATGGAAATCTCAGGTTGTTTAAATTGAAAACAGCCTGAGTTATTAGCAACAAGAAATGATCGCTAGTATGTACCGTAACTACCACTTTGATTATTGTTGCATGAGTCAAGGCAAGCAGTAGTGTGAGTTTAGGTGCAGTGGTGGATCCAGGGAGTGGCAAAAGGGTCATTCTCTCCCCTCATTCCCCCCCCCCCCCCCCGCAACAACCAAAACCAAACCTTTGAAAACTCTGAAGCTTTCAGAGGGCATATCCCCTTGCACCCCCACACAAGGTGAGGGAACACACTAAAACCTTCACCATAGGTTCTTCCTCTTCAGACAATAGGTCCTCGACTGTCTCTCACGCTACCCCAGCAAAAAATTCTGGATCTACCACTAAGCTGTGAGGTTTATCATCTCAAAACTACAACACCAGAGCATTGATTTTTTTACCTAAAATCATATTGATCACTAAGCCACATGTTGTGAATTTCCAAATTTCAACTTTTTTGTTTAAATATGACAAAATTATTCTTTTTTATACCACTTTACTCTTTTTAGTAACTTCATACATATTAATGCATGTTAATTTTTTTTCTCTTTCATATATCATTGCATGGCTTCCTTCTACATTTTTATTGGTGATGGGTTTCCTACTGGGTTGATTTTTACATTAAATCTTCACCTGCTGCAAAATGGAACATTCCTGGTTCTCTACCAAAATGATGTTGATTCTTCTATTCTATTCATCAAATAGGTATGTCTGTTCTTTGTGTATTTGTAATGTAATATTGTTACTCATCCTACATCTAATCCATAACATTTGTGTTCAGAATACATGTTTACCTCCAATTAAAGACCATCTTTGGTCCTTAATTAGAAAAATTATAAAAATAAATAATAAACATTCATTTGGAACTGCAGAAAGGTGGTCCTTAAATGGAGGTGGTCTTTAATTGGAGGGAGACTGGTATTCTTAAAAGTGCAATGCAATTACAATAACACACATGAAATCTACTGACAAGTATTAGTCATGTTTTAGGCAATGCTGAATCATCTGATTTGATGTGGTAATTGATAAATCACACTCAAATGTATTTTCCTAGAATATTATAAAGTATAGCACTCGCTCTGTTGATCTTTTTTTTTTCTCATATGTAACAGTACTACAATGGCCACCAGTGGCCACAAAATGACAGGAAAATTACTTTAACAGTATTATTTAAAAAAAGTAACCATAACTGAGTTTCCCTCAATGTAGATTAGATCAAACAAGGTCAGATTGTCAAATCAAGTGCTACGCTGCCAATAATGTATAAATATTGTTTTAACATTATGTATGTTCTTCATGCATCAGTGCACCAATTCTCAGCAGAGAGATGAACAGGCACTTCATATCTCAATTCTGTTATTGTAATAGCTTCCATTTTGCCATTTAAAGAGTATCTTCATTTACTGTGAAGTTTTCAATACTGCTGCTGTTGTTTTCTCTCTGCTGACTGGGGACAATAATGCATAAACAAAGCAAAAAGAGAGATCTATAAACTGTAACTTCAGGCCTTGCTCTCTTCGGTAACTAGCCCACCGGTCTAGTTTACTAGAGATTTTACTAGCCCACGGTCTCCCGTATTCTTAGCCTGTACATATGTATGAAGGAAAAAGCTTTGCTTAATTTTCACTAGACTCCCGGGCAGCATGAGGTGGTAGATAGGCAAGACAAAAAAAATAATTAGACCTCCTTTACACGGGCATGATATGACATCATCATACACATATAATATAGACGCATCACAGATGTCTGTCACATCTGGTGTGAACAGAACTTAAGGCCAAGTAAAAAATCACATCTGCACTTTTTGAAATATATATATAATAAAATATAAGTGGAGGATAATGTAAATTAGCACTATTACCAATAATGCTAAAGGGTATAAATGTAGGAGAATAACCCATAACTCACAATTGGGATGAATTACGTATGGGCGTATTCTGTGACTAATAATTCCCCTTTCACACATTCACGATTTTTGCTACGATAGAGGATGATTTTTAAAAGTTCTAAAATCGTGTTCTGTTGTAGTGATTCGAGTTCTAGGGTGGGCACTGTGAATGAGTATAAATACACTGTGAGCAGTTAATTTGATTTAGAATTTCACTTTATGATTGTGCTTCTATTAGAAATCTGGTTGATGTGTTTTCTTGTTCTTTTCCAGCTATTATGCTAGATATCCTGGCATTGATGTATATAGCACGATCAGTGAAGGGAAGAGACCCTAAACCAGTTGCTTCCACGAGGAAAGAGGAATTCCACGATGTGGTAGCAGTTGACGAAAGTCACGCCAAGAGTGCACGCGGCACTGGTTCCTACGATGATGACACAGATCCGGCAGGAGACGCTGGAATATCACGCTATCCATGATTGCATGATACAACAAACATCTGGGTGATATTACAGTGCAAATTCAGAAGTAACGCATGTGAACTTAGCAGTCACATGGAGAATGTAAACCATGTTTCTAAGTTTGACTTGAGGTAGTTTTTCTAGTCAAATAATATTTGATAAAATGATCTGACTAGGTTATTTACATTTTTATAATGACTATTAAAAAAAAAATTAATTAATGCAAAATTCAGACGCCACAATATTCTACCAAAGTAACCTAACATAACAATTAGGAAAAAAGATTCCAGTGACCCAAATACCTTGATAATTGAAAAAACAATCCCTTCATATCTTGGATTTTCAGTTCTCACTTTTAGTAGTTAGATGTATTACTTTTTTAAATCTATATTTTGTTTTTTTAATTATTTATATTGATCTATCTATCTTGCTTATGTTTTGTAGCAGTAGAAACACAATTCTTTGCATTGTGTATTTGTATAAATCTTATTAGAGAAGGATCATAGCAGATAGAAAGTAATGGAATTGTCACTTTCAGAGAAAAGTGATTAGTGGTTAACTACAGTATAGTAAAATTACAACTATTCAGGGAAAAAGTTATTAGATGCATTCCGTATATTTTGTTTCCATAGAGATTTTATTGAAATTGTTTAATTTACATTGGTGGTGGTATTTTTCACCGAGAATTTTCAGTTTGTTATTGTTTAGAACCTGTTGCTATGGTGCAATATAATTTCTTCCAACATTCATGCTCATGTTTTTAATATTAAATTGTATAAACAACTGAAAAAAGTAATTCCTAAATGATGAATTAGATTTTAGCACAGCAGAACTTTGCTGGCATTTGCAAATGTTGAAAACAACATTCTAATGAGTTTACTAACAAATGTAGGCCTAATTCAAGGTGAGAAAATGTACGTCAGTTGTAAATAGGTGAAAATATTTGTTTGTGTGTAGTTTATTGGCAGTTTGCCTTGTATCTTGTTTTGTATATCATTTTTATAGATCGCTTTATTGTTGCACTTGGAACTATCCGTACTACATATGTACTTATAAACATAAACTACTGTATTTATACGACAGTATAAACTGTCATATTTATAGGCCTTTTACACAGAACAGCACGATTTTTTTTTGTATACAATTATACTTGTTTCTAATTTAAATGAAATATTTTTATCTTTAATAGCTATTCCTTCATTATTGTTATGCTTGTTTGTTAGCATGTTTTCAATTACTTTATATTCATTTTAACTGGGATTGGGATCTTTACCCAAATTCCCCACCTTCTGTTGACGTTGTGTTCACACAATGAAAGTCAAAATAGTTATTTGATTTGAGTGCATATACCGAAACATATTATAGGCCAATATAGATAACATTCAGTATATTTTATGTTGCCCAACCTATTTATTTAACCTTTTTTTTATATATCATTTATCTTATTTCTTTACTTTATTTTGTTGTATTGGTAGGGCAATTTGTGCTATAAAAGAAATAATTATAATATTAATATATAGATAAATGACAGTCAAACAAATATGTGTGCATATATCATCACTTCACGCTTAATTGTTAATATCTTGGAGTTTGTTTACCTTTAGATTTTGGAGTATACTATCAAATTTTATGTGACAAATTTGTGTGATTTACAAATATATGGTTTACCAACCTCTAAGGTTGTGGTTTCAATCCCTCACTGTAGATTTCACTTGTTTCCTTAAGCAAGGCACTTTAATATACCTGGTGGGGTTGCCTGCTCCTGTGCTGATTACCAGCTATGTGGACCCAATGACCAGGTTAAAAAAAGAAGCTCTGCAAAGAGAGGGCGCTATATAGATGATAGAAATAAAAGAAATAATAATAATGGTCATGATGATGTCATAGTAGTACACCCAAACATGAGTATATCACATTTTTTTTTGTCACATAAAATTTTGTAGTGTGGACCGAATTTCAGATAACACATTAGTTTCTAATGAGTAGAGTATTTCAACAGGGTACTGTATTTTAACATGCTTTATGGCCCTGTGACACCTTGACGCTTTAGTCAGCGTATGCCGACGTATCAAAATTTCTCTAAAATGCTGGCATACACTGAACTATCGATATGGTTTTTTTTTTCAATTTTGGGTACATTCATAACGAGTTCGACATATACATAACGTATTTGTATTTTTTTTTAAATTTTGGGCACATTCATAGCATATTCATAACGAGTTTGACGTATACATAACGTATTAGTAATTTATTTAGAACGTTTTGATAACTTAAGAAATTTATACCAACGACTGCTTAACGTGTTGCCGGCGTTCACAACTTATGCCCAACAATAATCTACCTTATGCAGAGTGCATGGCAGCGTATAGCCGACGATTACATGACATAGACTATAAAAAGGCTGCCGCTCGTCAATTCAAAACATAACCACACTAGACATGGCAGTATCAACATCACCATATTATCATTACCCAATTTTTATATACCTGTTCCCCTAAATGCTGCCTATACGCCATTATATGGTAACTGTAAGTTAGAAACATCTTCAGTAATTTCTGTGGTTGTCTGGAACACGTCAAATACGTCTACATACGTCAGATTTTTCATACGCTGGCTAAATCGTCAACGTGTGACAGTGCCATCAGGTTTTTCCATAATGATTACAATTTTTCTGCTTGTGATCTACTGAAAATCACACACTAATAGAATGAATAAGCAGTGGATATTTAGCCGGTAGAATGCCTATTAGTTTAGACAAATTTCCAGTTTAGACAGCACATTCCAAACCTAAAGTAAAACTCTGTCCACTCTACACTATCAAATTTGTGTAATGTGCTCATATATGGGCATGATTATGTCATATTTACACTTAATTATGTCTATCACATTTATTTGTCACATGAAGTTCGATAGTGTGGCCAGAGCTTTAAGGATAGGCAGATTTGAGTTAAAGCCGGCAAAATAAACACTTTTAATAGAACGTTAACAGACTGCAAGCAAAATAATAGGTAATAGATTACACAGTAAAGTACTAGAGTCAGCTTGTGTAAGAGGCTAATATATATTTCTTGCCAGCTAATGAGGCTGGTCTACAATATTTTGTACCATTGTTTTCTTAATAGGGGTAGGCCAAATATTTAAATATTGGTACATTACATTAGTAGGGAATGCTAACCGTGAAGTAGATCCAGTGGAATTTGTAATTGATTTTTCCATGTTTTCATCAATTAATGGTATTAAAATTTCTTGTACTATATAATGAACAGATGGTTGCATTTTGCATTCATTATGTGTTATATGATCATTTACATTTTTAGTATCAATTCATTTTTTTTTCTATATTTTTTGAGTGGATGTGTATAAACAGAAGATGATACAAATTGATTTCTTGGAACATACAATTTATTTAACCAATGTTTTGACAGTTCTGCTGTTTTCTTCTGGCATTTTCAAATTATTAGTTAATACTCTATATTCCATGAAAAATTGTCTTGTGTATTCATAATTTATTTTATTTCAGTTTGGAATAATGTGTTGTCAGTTTGTAGGCATAGGCCTACTCAAGATACAGGATACACAATATTTTAATTCAACTTTCTCTGCTTTTCCCCCTTCCGAACGTTTAGATTTTGTATTTTTCGTTTCCTTCTTGTTTGATTCTACTTGTTTTACTTTTTTCCAGCATCCCCTATGAAATTTGAAATAATAATTTATTGTTTTACCGATTATAAGCCCATGCAGGTCTTTGTGAAGGCCTGGCTATAATTTTAATAATCGAATGTAGCTGGACTGAAACATGTCCTGATTATACCGATTATTAGCATGTCTCCTAGTTAGTAAGATGTAATTCCAGATGATGGCATTTGTAAAGCCTATATTAAAATTAAATTTATATTAAAATTAAAGTTTTATAGAATGTAGCTGGATTGAAACATGTCCTGAAATGTCATCTACTTCACCCTTAAAGTACTGGAGATGTGGACTAACCTGAGCAGAAAGCAAACGGTTTTGCTTCTGAAAGAGGGGTGGTGCATTACCCCGACAGGTGGTTCACCATCCCCCAACAAATAAGCCACGCTCACATCGGTCCCACTATTGTTGGGCTGAGACAAAAAGTTTAAGTTATGCCACATAGATGCTCGAAAATGGCACGCTCAAGTGCACTGTCTCTGGATTTCAAACATTTCTAATTTTTCCCTGACAGATTTTGTGGCCGACCAACTGACACCACCCTGTTTTAAAAGGGCATTTTTGTCAAGATGGAGTGATCGGCATTGCTATATGTGTTCTATACGGATCACAACAATACTATGTTTGGAAATGCCACTTAAATTTACTTTTAAGCTAAAATGATATATGATTTCTTATTATATGGCCATGGTTGGCGGTCTGCGGGCCAAATTTGGCCTGCGGAGCCATTCCATCTGGTCTGTGAACAAATGAAAATAAAAACAAATACTGTAATAATAAAGTAAATCATTTGATAAATAATTTTCCCATTAAGTAAATACATAAATGCAGCCCCTGGGTCATTTCCACTAACAACATTGAAGGATCATGCAAGTGAACATGGCTCCTATTGCAAGAAGGTGAAAATTTGCACCTTAGGTTTGTACGCAAGCTTGTACTGAGTCTTTGAGAGGGAAAACCCACCGAGATCTAAACAGTGTTTAAACTACTATCAACAAACGGCAAAGGTTAGTATTGTAAGCTCTAGCTATATCTGGAAAAGCATAAGAAGACTTGTTAATTGAGTAGACGACGCAAAATCGAGGTGGGTTTAGTTTTTACACGTCCGAACATTTTCCCTTTTGGATTCCCGGTTCTATTTTCCCCCGGCGATCTTCTCCCAGTAATTTTTTCATATTTATTTTTCCTGCTACTGAATTTTTTCATCAGTATATATAAGTTATCGTATTGATAAGGCAGAACATATTTTTTTTTTCTTTGTTTTCTCTATATAAATTCAGTTCCTGGTTCACAAACGAAATAGAGGAAAGAAAACAGAAAATCTCTCTCTCTTTTGGCCTAACACATCTATTTCCAAGTCGTTCTATATTTGGCTGCATCAGCTAATACTCCGACAAGGAGCTGCAATATTATTTCTATTTCTGGTAAAAGCGACAAAAGGAAGGACGTGATGATTTTATTATGACGACGTCTGCTTTTCTACAGTACCGGTACTTTTGCCTCTATATAGGCCTATAAGAAAGGTAAAAGAATGCAACCCTGAGGTGATCCGACATTAGTTATAAGTTTACCAGCAAGAGATCCAAAATACCGAAACACGTTGTTCTTTATTTAACAGTACAGAAGCTGTCGATACTAGAGGATTTACACCAAGATTACAAAGTTTGTATCGTATTAAATAAAATAATAATAAAATAAATATCCACAAAATTTTCTCTTACATAAACAATTAGAATTATCAACATCATTCTGAATCATAAGAACCAATGAACCAACTAGGCGCCAACACTTAAAGCATGTGGACCCAATGACCAGGGAAAAGAAGTG